GGGGGTGGGAGGGTGTGTGGTGACCGCTGCTCGGGAACTGGCTGGGCATCGGTTGGCGGGTGGTGAGCAATTGCATTGTGCATCACTTGCTTTGTATATTCTTTTATCATTGTTATTATTATTTCCCTTCCTTTTCTGTCCTATTAAACTGTCTTTATCTCAACCCACAAATTTTATTCTTTTTTTTTCCCCGATTCTCTCCCCCATCCCACTGAGGGGAGGGAGGAACAAGCAAACGGCTGTGTGGTGTTTAGCTACCTGTTGGGTTAAACCATAACAGTACTTCTTTTAAGAAATTGATTATTACAATTGCTCTTTAACTTTGCTTCGGACTGCCTCCAAATTTCACTTCTCCAATTTCTCAGCTGCAAATTCCACACAGAAGCTGGCACTGCAACTCTTGCCATGACCGCTGTGAGGACTTCAACTAGTATAAAAATCTTGTTTTAGTCTCCCTATGTTTAGAGTTAATACAGTTGTTCCAACACTGTCTTCCACAATATTAAGGCTTCTTCAAAGCCAGTTAAGGTGCTGATAGAATGGATTAACATGCATAGATAAAACACAGACCACATATAAACATAAATTTGCAAGTTCTTAAATGTTTCTTTTTCCACCAAAGTTAGTTTCCTTTGTGCTTTCCTAAGCAAGTCATCACTTGCAACACGATCCAAGATTCATTTTAGATGATCAATTATTAATGCTGAGTTTGTTGCAGGGGAAGTCTCAGTGGGGCTAAAAACCACCCCCCCAAAACCAACCAACCAAAACAAACACCAAGCAAAAAAACCCCAGTCTCAAAGCATCCATCATAGAATAGATGGGAGTCAGACCATTGTCAAGTGATAATGACTGACAGAGTATTGCATTTGTATGAGAAGTTTTTGGAGCTCCAGAAGATACAAACCAGTGATGACATTAAGCAATATACTGAATCACTAGGAAAAACTAGTTGATTTTCCTAGCAACGTGATTGCATCATTGAAGAGACTGCATCTCTGTGATGAATTGAGCTCAGCAACGAAAGAAACACTTAGGAGAGGTTGGTTTTTTTTTTTGAGGGGGGGGAGGAACAACGGGAATCCTGATCTTTTCTTAGATTTGTTACTGAGTCATTTTGCAGCTGTAAACACTAAAAAGTCTGCACTGAAACCTAGCACCTAGCCTAGACAATGTGATTTGCTGCAGTAGAGTGAACAACCTTTTCTACTCTCATTCAGACTCAGTAAACATGAAGACCATGGCTATGCTGCCCACTCAGTGCAGCACGTGGTACAAGTGGAGTGTATATTTGTCATCCTTGTGAAACAGATTTGGAAGATGAACGAATACATAGAACATCATAAGGTCAAAATATTACACATTTGGATAAATAACTCCTTACATACCCACACATATTCATTTTCTCCACCAAATGCTACATTTGCGTCTTTGCCAAAAGAATCGGCATAATTGCCAAAGTGAAGATTGCCCAA